CAACACAGGAAACAGAAAAATCTGGAAAATCATTTTTAATTTCACTCCTTATTCCATTATTCTGAGAAACCCCTACCAGCATCCCATCATGGTTCCTGCCTTCTCCCAGGCATTCATTCTCATGTGCATGTGACTTTTGGTGAAGATCATTTTTTTATACTTTTTTTGTTTTGCCAATATCCTCCCATGTTCTTACATAAAACAACATAAGCATTCTTTACATTGATGTGTGCTGAATTCTCTGTATCTGGACCATATGGGATTGGCCTAGCTTCCTCTAGTACCAGTCTTGGGACATTCTTCCATTGGTAGAATCCTGGGATGACCTTGTGTGACAGTGTTCTTGCAATTGTATTTCCTCAAGTCACTCATTAGGAATCAAGCTGGAGCAGTACATCCCCCAAACTCAAAACCTAGGAAGGCTAGAAAAGGAAGTAAGGGCTGTTAGCTTCTTCTGAGACCTAGGCATGGAGCAGTTTTGATGAGTTGACTGAGTGACCCCATGGTCTGTTTTCAAGGTACTTGGACTTGTGGTAATCAGGTGTAGTAAAATGCAGATATGTAAAAATTACTTAGGGAAGGGTTTTATATTCACAGATCCCTGGAAATAGGAGGCAGGGTAGGCATGGGCCACACCAGAATGAGTCAGAGGGCCGAAGAAGCACAGGGTAATTGTGGGCAAGAGGTTTCCATGGGCAGGAACTGGGAAGGTAGGGCATGCTGGCTTCGAGTTGGCTCCTTTGGTAATTTCATTAGGCTCCAGGTGTGGAGCCTGTCCCTAGTTGCCTAGTACCTGGCCCTGGGTGATTGGGTATCCCAGAATGTGGAAACTAGATGGAGGAGGTAATCCAGGACACACAGCTTTGTTGGTTGGTTTGCATATAAAAGATGTACTTATAGGCTAAACTCCTACTCTCTCTAGAAACAGGCTGTCCCTTGGAGGGACAGTAGCTCCAGGAAGGGCAAAGCCCTATGGGTCAAAGGATCATAAACACATGGTTAGTACATGGAGTCTGCAGCGAGATGAGTTATCAAGGACATCCCCACACTCAAGCAGAGCTTTGATTTTTTTTTTTCGATTTTTCCACACATGGAGGGTGGGGAGGGAGGCGTACTGATCTTAGCAGAAGGGGGTGTCACCAGAACAGATGGTAGAGAAGCTTCCTGAGTTACTCATCCCTGATTCAGCTCTGCCATCAACCAGCTGAGAGCCTAGAAGCAAGTCTCTGACTCCCTGGGCCTCCCCATGGCATCTGCTGGCAGCACTTGCCCTTCAGGAGAAGGAGCAAAGGGGACAGTGGGAGTGAACATTTCTCAGCATTTCCTGCATGCTAGTGCTTTGCAGAAATGCTCACTATATTCTCATCTCAATGCTTGTCTCTCATGTGCTGCCCTATTTTTGCTGATCTTACAGCTGAGAAACCTAAAGCTTAGAGAAGTGACAGGCTTAACATGGCTATCTCAGCTGCTGTAACCAAATACCATTGACTGGGTGACAAATTTATTTACCACTATTCTGGAAGCTGGAAGACAAGATTCAGGTGAGGGTCTACTTCCTAGTTTGTGACAAGACCTTCAAGCAGTATCCTCACATGATAGAAGGGACAAGAGCTCTCTCTCAGCCCTCTTTTATAAGGGCACTAATTCCATTCATGGGGATTCTGCCCCCATCAGCTTCCAAAGGACTCTCTTCCTAACACCATCACCTTGGGGGTTAGAATCTCAACATACAACCTGGGGGTGGACACAAACATTCAGTGGCTGCAGTGGCTGATCAGGGATGTGAGCCCAGTCTGAAAGTCTCTGCTCTTGTGAGCCACCAGACATGTAGCACAAGATTCCATTTGGAATCAGTCTGCTGCTTGGTTTGGAACATGAGTGATATTGAGGGCTTAGGAGAAATGGGAGCCAAGCAGACCTCGAGGAGACAAGGTGGGAAACTTGAGGAGGAAATGGGAAGGCCAGCTTGTCAAAGGGAAGATGTTGTCATTGAAGCAGATTGTTTTCAGGAGGAGAAAATGATGCGGTGTAGGAAATGTGGTGATTTATCCAGAGTCACACAGCTATCTTGTACCCACAATGGTGATGTGTTTGCAAGTATTCCTGCTCCCTGAGGACTCTAAGCTAAATGTCCTAATTATCTTTGGCATCATTTTCATCAGGACTTTTTTGTTTATTTGTTTTTTTGTTTGCAGCAACCTGTGATCGTGACTTCATCTGGCACAGTGAATTCCCAAGGCTTGGTAATACTGGCTCTGGTTGCAAATAAGGATGTTTGTGACAAGACACCAGATCTTACTTACCACAGTGTGACTGGAAACCTGCGTGACTTAGAGCCAAGGTCATGAGCTTAGTGTCCCCAGACTGACCTTTAGTTCTTGGTTGCAGATAATAGAATCCATGCTGGCTAATTAAAGGAAAAAGGGGAAGGAAACAACTAGCCTAGAATCTTTGGGAAAACTGAAGAAATAGTTAAACACCCAGGAATGCCTCCCTAAACTTCATTGTAAAATGGAGCCGTCTATGAAAGCTGCTACCCCTGATAGAATCAGGAGGTGCTGCTACCAGCGTAGTTTCCAAGAGCCTTGCCACCTTGTCGCATTATCTCACCAGCAAAAGCATGCCTTGGGCCTTGCCTTCCTACTCAGATATAGTAATAGCTATCTCCTGCAAATGCTTGTGATTGGTTAAACCTAAATTGCACCAAGCCTTAGCTGCAAAGGAGTATGGGAAATGTGTTCTTTGGCTTTCTCGCTACTGTAGTCCAGAAGGTAGAGATAACAAGTACATGGTGCTGTGTTTGAAATATTCAGTGTGAAAGGGTTTCAGATATATAAGCAGACTATTACAATACAATGTTATTTGCCCTTATTAAGAAACAGTGTACAGAAGCCCAGGGGTAAGGTTCAGAGAAGTCTTCCTAGAAATGTGGGCATTTGAGCAGGGTACTAAAGGATCAGTATGAGTTTACAAGATAAGGAAGTCAGAGAAAGAAGTTTCCAAACACAAGGTAAACAGAGACAAAAAGTTGAGTTTGATATTTTAAGGCTCTTCCTTCCATCCCTAGTTGTTTTTACTAATTCTGCCTGAATTCCTTTATGGCATGAAAACAAGGAGCCTATTTATTTTGTAAACAGGAGCCAATTTGTTGTATAAAATGTATTAATATTTTAAAAATTATTTAAATAGATGGATTTAAAATTAAATATTAAATTATATTTACATTAAGAATAAATATTTATAAATATAACTTTAAAATATCAAATGAAGCTATATTTAAAATTCCTTAAATTGATTGATTGATTGAGATGAGATCTCACTATGTTACTAGGGCTGGTCTTGAATGCCTGGGTTCAAGTAATCCTCCTGGCTCAGCCTTCTGAGCAGCTAACTACAAGTATATGCCACCATGGCTGGCTACTAGAATACAAAGATTTTAAAAGGAGCCCAATATATTTGATAAATATTTTAGGACTTGTTTCTTTTCTTTTCTTTTCCTTCCTTCCTTCCTTTTTTTTTTTCTTTTCTCTAGCAGGGTCTTGCTATATACCTCAGGCTGGCCTTGAACTATCTCTGTCTCAGCCTCCCAAGTGTTGAATTTACATGCCTGCGTCACCACACCTGGCAATATTTCAGAATTTCTAAAGCATCATGTTCTTATATTTGTACACATGAATTTGATGTGGCAAGTGCATGTGCAGGCTGCTGCCACCCAGTGTTGGGACATGCTCCAGGGTGACTGTGTTCCCCATCTGTGGTCCTGGCTCTGCATCAGCCCTTAGAGTGCCTCTCTCACTCCTGGATCATAAAGGTTTCCCATCAAAAGACCACTAAGCTGTCTTTAGCGTGGCATAGCCCTGCAGACTTTTCAGTTCCTGGATGAGTCTGAAGTCTAGCTCTCCCAGCAACATCTGCCCCAGCTGCTGAACCATCTCTAACAAGAGAGAGGCTCTGGAGAGAGGGTCACGTGGACTCTGTCCCAGGAGGCAGTTCCTAGCCATGGTGCGGAAGGCCTGAGTCCCCTCTCTAGGAGATACCAGCTGCCCATGTAGACCAGTGGGGATAAGGGCAGGCTTGAGTTAATGTGGAGATTCACAGGCAGCTCTGCCATTTGCCAGCTGTGAGACTCTGGGCAGATCAGTTTATTCCCAGGGTCTGGGTTGCTTGTGGTGATCACTTCACAGGCCAGTTAGAAAAATGAAAAGTGAATGCTGGGCCAGCTTGTAGCCCATGAGAAAGGTTCAGTAAGTGTCGGCTATAACTGTAACTGATACTGTTATTCTTCATGAAGCTAGCAGTGGTGACCTGTGGTACCTGTGATGTGCCCCAGAGTCAGCTGGCATTGGAAAAAACTTGAGATCCTCTGCAGTTGGATGGAGGCTAAGTGATTCTGTCTTACACTGACAGTATGACTTGAGGCTCTGTCTGCAGAACCTCAGTTTTCTCAGCTGCTAAGTGTGGAGAAAAATGTCAGTCTTCAGCATCCTAGCATGAGGATGAGCATCCAGTGAGCTGACAGAAACGGACCTACATTGCAAAGTAGAAGCAGCAATGGGAATCTCTGCTTTGCACTGGGCCTTGTATAACTTGTCTCTTCTCATGGCAGCTGCTTTCTTTGTGTTCTACATTATCCCAAGAAGAGAAAGAAAAAACGGGCAGGAAGGGGCAGGACATCTGGAGGCCTGCTGGCCCATTGCCCATCTGAATGCCTCTGATCTCCAGAGTATCTCAGTTCCTCTCCTCTTCCCTCACTGCACAAACTTGGAACCAAATGCTTCTGCATTTTCCTTGCTAAAATGGGTTCTTGCTGCTGTAGCCACTTATAGACCAGGTCAGCAGGGAGTTCCTAGTAAGTGATGACCTGCCTGGAGCCCCTACCCTGAACTCTGCTGGAGTAGGGCTGGTTTCATTTGATTGGAACAGACCCCAGCAGGACTCTTGACAGATGCTGGAAAACTGGACCTGCTTCTCTGTGTGACCCTGTCTTTGTTGGTTCTCAGGTATTTTGAATTTTACGAGGGGCCTTCTGAATATAACTCTACAAGATGCCTGGAACTGAGGCAGGAGATACTGGAGGTGAAGGTGCTGTCCATGTGAGTGTGGCGGGGCTGGGTGGTGGTGACAGGTGCATGTGGCAGGTGGGGCTGGGAAGGGCAGGAGTTGGGGTAAAAACAGAACAGGAAATTCGAGGTAGATCCCATGGAACAAAAATTAAGTTTCCCTTCCCAAGGCCACTGGCATGTGAAAAGCACTGGAAGCTATTTTATGACAGAAGGCCAGGTTTGCAAGGTCACCTCTGATGACTCTGGTGTTAAAAGACTGGGTTTCCATTACCCATCTTGATTATCATCACTGGGCTCCCATCATGTAGAAATCGAAGAGGGCGCAGCAGTGTGTTACTGAAATTCAGTCCTCTGTGTCACAGGGGTAAGTGTTGCCCTCTCACTATCACTTTTTAAAATTTTAATTTATTAAAAGTTTTGATTTTTAATTATTTAAATGATACAAAACTCATTTCAGATTTGGTCCTGAGGTGTGTACAGTAAAGTAACTCCTTCTCATAGCCACCAAGTTCTCCTCCAGAGGCCCAGGGCATCCTTTCAGAGAAGTTCAGAGTGCAAACAGGCGTCTGTGTGTAACAAGCTCGCTCTCTGCACACTGAGCTGAACCTCTAGCTATTTTTATTTTTTATTTTGAGACAAGGTTTTGCTAAATTACCCGGGCTGGCCTTCAATTATGATTCTCTTGCCTCAGCCTCCTGAATAGCTAGAATTACAGGCATGTGCCACCATATCTGGCTTCTTTAAATATTTTTTATTTACACAAATGGGTAAAAGAGATGTATTCTCCATCCCACTCAACAGTATATCTCCTATGGCTTGCTTTCAACTTGTAGGAGGAACAGCACATCAGATGCTGCATGTTTTAGTGCATGTGTTCACCTGAGTTTTCTCTCTCCATAGGATTCCTTTGAATTCAGCAGACCTATCTAGGCAGGGTTGGATTGTGTTAATCATGAAGGGATCTGTGTTTATTTAGAAACAGTTATATCTTGATATGGACAAAACAAGCCATATTCAAAGAAGCCATTTTGTATGCTCAGACAGACAGTACCCGAGAGACCCAGGGGTGGGAAGTGTGTCTTCTGTGATTTCAGGTAGTGGGGATCATGCTCAGTGTATGCATCTTAGAGTCTTACAGACTTAGGATCCAAAGGCAACTCTGGACATTAACAGCTCTGAATTGTTAGGCAAATTACTTGACTGCTCAAGCATTTCCTTAATGAACACTTGAGATAATCAGCCTATAAAAAGGGATGGTTTATTTTGGTTTTCAGTTTTGGAAATTTCAATCTGTTGGCCCCATTACATTTGAGCCTGTGGTGAGGCAGCATGTCATGGCAGGGAACAAGGGTCGGAGTAAAGTTGGTTACCTTATGACTGGGATGGGAAAAGAAAAGGAAAAAGACCAAAGTCTTACAGTCCCCTTTATCAGCACACCCCAAATAACCTGGAGATTTCCTATTAGGACCCAGCTCTTAAAGCTTCACATAGTTAGCACTCAGAAGGCTGAGGCAGAGGACTGTTGCAAGTTTGAGACCAGCCTGGGCTACAGGGTGAGCTCAAGGCCAGCCTGAACTGCATAGTGAGACCCTGTCACAGAAAGAGCAAAAAAAAAGCTTCCCTAGTTTTGGAGGGTGGAAGTCTGAAAGCAAGGTGTTGCCAGAGCTGGTTTCTTCTGAGGCCTCTCTTTGGTGTGCTGATGGCCACCCTTTCGTTGTATCCTAACATGGCTGCCCCTCAGTCTTGTATCTTGTGTCTTGTATCTTGATTTCCTCTTCCCATAAGGACACAAATCATGTTGGATTGGGTCCACCCCAATGGCTTTTTTAAACCTTAATTACCTCTTTAAAAACCCTTTCTACAAACAGTCACGCTGTGAGAGACTGGGGGATAGGACTGCAACATAAGAATTTTCAGAGGATGTGAAATAGTAACACTCCTATCACAGGTAATATTTGGGGACCAGAGAAATTGCCCAGACCCTTTGATATGAGCATAAACACAAACAGTGTATGGTGTTATGGACAACCTCACATTTCCTCATGCTATTCCTGGTCATGGACGCCTGTTGGTGGTGTTTTGGTCACTCCATGTTTGGTGTTAGTTCTGGTTTTATTGTATCCTCTCTGGCCTCCTGACGCTTGGGTTTCTGGACTGAGCAGCAATCCAGTTGTAACCTTGTCCTTGCTGGGCCTTGTGTAACTTGTCTCCTCTCACGACAGCTGCCCTCTTTGTGTTCTACAAGGGTAAGAAAGAAGAGGGAGGGCCAGTTTATTCATAGGCATCCATGTATCCAGTGCTTCTCTTTCTGAGTCCCTAGGCTGATGGTTAGTGGGTCCTTGAGGGAATGTGGGAATGAAATTGGAGAACCTTAAAGACTAGCCTTTAGGCCCTGAGTGGCCCTGCCATCATCTGGGGCACCTGAGGGCTTCATTGGGCTCCCACTCTGGACCATGACCTGGTCTCTTGATAGTACTGGTCTTGAGTCCTTAGAAAAAGGCTAAACCCCATCTGTGGATGGAAGCAGCTGGACCAATGCTCATGTCCCGTCCAGTGCACAGAACGTCAGCTGGTGTTCTGTTTGAGGAGACAGGGAGGTGTATGATTCATCCGGGAATAATTTTGATCCAAAATTGCTAACTTCAGTGGTAAAATCAGTCAGCCAGAAAATTCCCACATGGAAAAATACCTCACTCCCTGACAATGCCAAATACATGAGGAATTCTCCAGGATGATTTGTTATGTTAAAATTATTTACGCTTGATTTTAGCCAGTCTAGAGATGTAGTGGTGAACCTATGACACGCATACTGCAGCCGGCTGTTTATTATCTTTGAATCACTGGTTTGCTCTCACTGGTTTGGAGTCACTTTGGTTTTAAAGAAAAGCCTTTAGTTGCTGCCTGCACTCTCAGCCAGATGGAGGTCATGCCTGAGAACTCCCCACCTGGCCTCTCCTGCAGCTCATTTTTCTGGGCCTGGGGAACTCGGCATGAAACCCAGTGATGAGATCAAGAGAGATACTTGGCATCGAGGCCACTGACCAAGTGTCATCTCTTTGTGCCTGCTGAAGATGAGTTCAGAACCTTGTTCCCGAGGCTATGATCTCTGTACCAGCCTAGGATGCACTTGCGGAGTGAATGTGTGACAGAAGTAGGTGAGTCCTGGGTGCAGACAGAATAGGTCATGGAAGAAAAGGGGTGAAAAGAAAGACAATGGGACGCTCATGCTCGGCTCCTGTGATGGTTATCTCTTGCATATGAAAAACCAAGTAGATCACAAAAGCTTCTACTAATAGAAAGCCTCATTCCCTGCCCTGTGCCTTCTGCCTCACCAACTTCTTTTGATTCTTGGTCGTTTATTTAGCTAATTACTCCTTACCTTTTAGTAATGTGTGCCTGCAGTGTTTTGTACTCACCCTTTCTCCCCGGTCTTGTGTTTTGCTTTGGTAAGGACGCTGCTGTTTCCCATCTGCTTTCCCATGCTTCCCCAGTTGAGCATACTTGGTTTAAATGTGGTTCGTGCCCCAAGGGTTCATGTGTTGGAGGCTTGGCCTCAACATGGCAAGACTGAGGCAGTGAGACCTTTAAGAGTTGGGGCCTCATTAGGTCTTGTGGAGCCAGAGATGATTAACGCCCCCAGGAATCTAGATTGTTGTGAAAGAGACAGAACCTGACTTCTGTATTTCTCCAGCTTCCTGTCTTGCCACATGATCTCTCCTGATATGGCGGGCTCTCTTTCCGCGTTTCTGCCATGTTTTGCTGTGCTTAAAGAGGCCATCACCGGAGGCTGAACTGATGGGAACACCTAATCTTGAACTTTCAGCCTTGAAAACAGTGAGCTGTGTCTACCCAGCCTCAGATATATTGTTATTCTGTTAACAGAAAACAGATTAAGACAAAGGATACTGCTAGTTTTAGTTCTTATTTGTATAGATTACCTAAATAATCTATTTCTTCTACAAAGTATAGACAACCTCTAGATCCTGCACTTGGCAAGGTGTGGCTATTCATGCCTACTTTCTAGCTCCCTTCTCTAGCTTATGGTATTAGCACCCATGAATTTATATCATCAATGTCCATGCCAATACATTTGCATTTTATTCGTAACAACAACAAGCCTTCTTTTGGGCTTCCTTTAAGACTGACTTCAAAATTTAATGATTGTTACCTGGCATGATGGCACATGAGTGTAATCCCAGCACTCAGGAGGCTGAGGGAGGAGGATTGCTGTGAGATCAAGGCTAGCCTGGGCTCCATAAGTGAGTTAAAGTCCAGCCTGTGCTATATAGTGAGACTCTGTCTCAAAAAAAAATTGATTGTCTTTATTGAGACAGTATAGATACTATTCCCTGAAGGCTAGCAAGGTAAGTGAGTTCAGATTCTTTCTTGTGCTTTTTTCCCTCCTGGCGCTTATAGCCATCTTTCCCTCATCCTCTTTGTCTTTGCTGTGCGTAGCTTTTGGCTATTTCCCAGTCAATCAGGCGGTCCCTCCAAGATCTCTTCATTTATCCTCTTATGCCAACTTGGATAGGCTACTTCTTTGAGTCACATGGAAGCTGTCTGGAAACTTCACTTCTCTGCCTTTTTCAGGTTATATTCACCTTTGCTGAGAACTCAGAAAGCTTTTTTTTTCTTGTTTACCCCTTCCTCATTCTTAAACCCATTATGAAGCAAATTCCCCAAAAGTGCTGAAGCCCTGCTATATATAAATCATTTAATTATTCTCATTCTTGATTATTGGTTTGGTGAGTGGTTGAATTATTGATCAGATAGTTGATTTGGTAGGATTGCTCATTGATTGTTAGCTTGCTGGATTGTTGGTTGGTCTAATAGGTTGTTGGATTATTGGTATGGTGGGTTGTTGGTTTGTTGGTTGGCTCATTGGTTTCAGAGATGGTATTTTAGGTGAAAATAATTTTCCTTTGGGATGCTGTAGACCTTTATTATCTTGTAGCAACCAGGGCTACATAAGAAGACATGGGAATTGTTGTTCCTTTAGAGACTATGTGGTTTATTTTTATATTTCCTCTGGGATCTCTTTAGATCAGGGCAAATCTAAAGTGTCCCAGTGGTGTGCCTCAGTGCCCAAGGGGATCTTTTCCTCCTGAGCTCAAGTCCAAACTTCTTGTGAATATATTATGTCCTCCTCCTCACTGTCCTCCACTTTTTTCTAGTACATCTAAGCTTTGTGTACTGCATCTTTTGGATTACTTCTCTAGCATTGGTATCTTTTAATCTTAACTTTTCTCTTTGCCCTTTGCTTCTATATTCTGATAAAATTTCTTGGTTTCATCTTCAGTTTTTTAAAATCAACTCTTCCTCCAGAGATTTTTCTTTGTTCTCAGAGCAATCTGTTCTTATTTTTAAGGATGTTTTATTTCCTGGATATCCTTGGGCACAATGTAGAATATTTTTTACATTCTTTTACTCCTCTGGTATTTTTTCTGTAGTCATTGGATCTAGTGGTTTATCTGTCTGTTTCCTTCAGATAGACCAGGTGAACTTAAAGTAGTTAGGAGCTGTGTGTCTGTAGTTGCTCAAAGTGATGTTGACTGTATTTTGCTGTGATGCCCAGATATTTTCACTGGACATGGTGCAAGTTTTTGAGAAGGAACTGGCAATCTGATTTCATCCTTCCCCTGACCCAACTCTTCTATCTACTTCTAGACCTAAAATATTGGGCTGCAGGTTGTGGGCAGAGAAGATTGAGTGTTCTGAAAAACTCACCCTGGTTCTCATTTTCAGAGCCATCCTTCTTCCTACCTTCTAATACCTTGAGAATTTTCCTCTGGGTGTTTCATCTTATCCTTTTGTCATGTCTTCCTCCTTCTGAACACCTATTGGAGTCTTTCTTTCACTGAAATGTTTCTTCCTGTGATTGTGTTCATCTGGTGGGTTACACCTTTTTATCCTTTTTAGTGGTGTCTTGGAAGAAAAGAGAGAAGAGCCTAGAGTCAGCCTTTCATTTGACCTTTGCATTTGCAAAGTAGTGTATAATTCCATAACACATATGATTCTATTTGAGCTATCCAACAATCCTTGAGAATGGCAGGGCGGAAGCTGTGATATCTGTCATGCAGATAAGAAGCTGAATCTCAGAAAAATTAAATAATTTGCCCTAGGTCACACTGCAAGTTGGAGATGGAGCCAGGATTCCAGGCTAGGTTTCCAGGCCCTGACTTGGTTTAGGGTGTGACATTGACATTGGAGGCACAGAGATTAGGGCATGGATTGCTATCAGCAATGGAACTCAGTACCTGGCCTGGAGTATTGACACACCTGTGTTTCCACAAGGTGGTTGAAGCTTTGGCTATATAGGGTGCTGTGGCTTTATTTAACTCACTTTTCCTAAAAATATTGGGCCATAGATTTCCTGTTTTAAAAATTGGTTTAAACCATATGTGAGCGCATTTTTTGTAGCAGTTTCATATATTAGTGTTTCAACTAATACCTTGTGACCTCTTATTGAATTAGTTTCACAGAATATACTTTGGGAAACAGATGTCACTGTACAGATTTTTCTTTCTCTCTTAACATCTCCCTGTTTTCCCTATCATAGAAGACTAAAAGTACCAAATGAATGATAATAGGAACAATAATCTCTTAGTAGACAGCAAAAATCGTGACAACCCTGTTATATAGATGAAAAGACTGATGTTTTCTGTGACTTCCTATGGTGACATAACCTGGGTAAGATCCCAGAAGCAACTTTTTCACAGGGATGAAGATAAGTAACTAAGGATAGGGAAAGATAACAGAAACACGAAAACATGTTAGTGGGAGAGAGGACTTGGCGTATGATGTGTGGCCCAGGTGCCATCTGAGAAGGACAAGAGAAGGCATGAGAAGGGAGGATAATTCCTAAGGAGGATGAAGATTTCACAGTCATCACAGTCATCACAGTTCTGGGAATCTGTTTACTTCTTTGTTTTAAAGAACACAATTTATTTGAAGGTGGGGAAAGGGAGAAGAGAGACACAACAGACAGCTACTCTGGAGGAATAGGGAGTATTCAAGAGGGAAATACTCCTGTTCCTGGAAATTTGAATCTTTGAATTGGTTCTTTCATTCATCCATTCATTCACATATACAGTATGTATCTAATGTCTATATTTTGCTATATTTGTGGAAACTGTAGGTACAGCATTGAAACTTAGAAGAATGCATAATAATGTGTAAATATAAATGATAACTAAAAACTAATTCTCTAAGTAGTGTCAGTCAAAGGGAGTCTCCTCTGTGATTAGATGCTTTCCTTCCTGAGAATACCTGGGAATATCAGAATGTTGAAAAAAAATATTGAAAGTCCACCAACACAAAGCCAGGCAGATGTCTATGCAGAGAAGAGGACACATCTCAACTTTCTCATCTCTTCCTGTCTGTCACTGAGAAATTATGATCTGCCTTTGAGAATGCAGAAAAAGAAGGGTACACTACATCCCTGAGCCTTACTATGTGCTGCATGCTGTATAGGGTTCCACCAACTTCTCAGAAACGACTTGTATAGTTCCCAGCATGTGAGGAAGAGTGACCTGTTCGAATCAGATGTGGTTAGATGTGCCCATACAAATGGCTATCATGACTAGGAGTTTTATGCTCACAGATCCCAGAAACAGAAGGCACACCACACCACTCAAGGCCAAGGGGAAGCATCAGAGCTGGTCAGAAGCCAGGAGTGAGGAGAAACAGAGGCAATATCTTTGGTGTGGTTTTCATGAGAGAGAATGGGCCAGGCAGGATATTATGGTAGACAAGCTTAGGACAGGCTAGGTTGAATAATTTGGGTAGAGTCTGATGCTTAGATAGTTGTGTGATACCTGGCTCTGGGATAATTAGGGCAGGAGACAGCAGCTGGCTGAAAAAAAGGTGGCTGAGGGGTGAGTCTGGACTGCTCCCATGAAAGGCACTTTTGTGGGAGACTTGTGTGCAATGCTGTCATCAGTAAGCAGCAAGGCTCCAGGTATCAGAGCATCAAGAAGACAGATAAGAAAACAGTGCTAATACATAGCAAGCCTTTGGCAAATGGGCGCAGAGAAGGAGCAGTCTGAGAAATGATGACACTTGACCAAGCCTGGCCCTCTCTTTTCTCTGCTTTTCCTCCCCAAGGGTGAAGCAGTCAGAGCTATTCGACAGGTGGAAGAACCTCCAGATGTGCAAGTGGACAATGAACATCTCTGAAGCCAACCATTTCAAGTACCTATCAGTTCTGTCTTTCTTTCTTTCTCCTGGTGTGGGTGTGTCATTGTCACCTGTTTAGGTCTTCATCATCCTGTAAGGCCCAGCTCTTGGAGGTACCTGACCTGGTCTGACCCTAATGGAGCTTTGCAACCTGGAGAGTGCCGAGACTCTGACCCCAGGAGAGTGAGGTGACACCTGTAAGCTGCTATTCTCCAAAGGCCATGCAGCAGACCCATGAGGCACTGCTGTCACCTCCAGAACACATTTGAGGTTCACTGAGCCTTCTAACTAACAGTGCTATCTACTCTAGATCTCCTCACAATCATCCATGGCCTCTCTGTCCCCACCTTCCTCTCCTGGACAGTGGCTCTAACCTAGCAGCCTCATGCCTTCTCTGAGCACCTGCATTGTGACAGCCGTGCCAGGTATCTGGGCCCTGCTGTAGATTCTCTCCTAATTGCTCTGTAAACCACAGTTAACAGATTATAAACTCCCAAAGAGGCAAGAGCATTATCTTAAAGATCTCTTGTGGGAACCAAGCAGATGGGCAACATCCAAACATTCTTTTTCATTAATGGTGAGTTTTGGGGTCCCCTCCATCTCTAAAATCTTGCAGGTATATTTCATTATTTTAGTGCGAATAGACCTTATGCTTTGGAACTAATTGTGATTTATGCTTAAACTGAATTTGGCAGCTCATTTTCAAATTTAAATGTAGTGAGAAGCTATCAGTACAAAGGAGTCTTCACAGGAGACTATGAAAAGTGATATAACCAAGCATTTTATAGTTTCTTTAGAAGTCATTTGTTTTCATTGGTGGCAATTCCAGGCCATGTCTAGGGACAGGATGGCATTTTTAAGTGGGAACCTATAGCAAAGATGAGATACACTGTCCAGAGCATGATGCTATGGGGGCTGAGGGATATCAAGTGGGTTCAGGGATAGGGGAGGGAGGTGACATCAGGCCTTGCTGTGCTCTAAGTGGAAAAACCTTCAAGGCCACTCAGTTGTCTCCCTTTGCTCTCATTTCATGTTCTTGGAACAATGATGAGATTCATTACTCAGGGTGGCAGAAACTTTTGTGGTGCAGGAGTGAGACATGAACATTTCAGTTACAGGAAAAGAATCCTGTGACAGAGGCCTTTCCTTACCATGCTGCTTACTAATCGACACTTTGGCATTCTGGTTTATACACTGCTTACTTGTAAGCTTGGTTAGTAAGTCAGTCTCTCTCTACGGGAGGGAGCCAGCTGAACTTTCCATTGGCAGACAAGATTGAGTTTCAGAAAGGAAAGAGACATTTCTGGAGCCTCACAACTGTTGGGGATAGAGCAGAAATTTGAATCCAGATCTTTAGCCATGAAGCTGTTAACCCTGTCCCAGGTTCCATCAGAGACCTTGATGGAAGTTTTTAAGAATCTCCTCCTCACCTTTCATTTCTGATCACTGCAAGGCTCCATTGCCCTGCGCTGCCTGGTCATAGCTGGGCCTGTGCCAGGAGCCAGTACTGGTGTCCAGAGAGTGCTTAGCCTGCTGCTGCTGCTTTTAGAAGAGATGCATCCTTATGGGCTTAGCCCCTAACTTGAGGGAAACAGTATTTGTACCCTTAGTCAAGTCCTGTATCTGTGGCCAGAGGTTAGGCCCCCAGAGCAAGGAGAGCAAGATGTCCCAAGATCTGGCCCTGTCACAGAGCCTCCCTGGGAGAGCCTGCAGTGCACACTGCCAGGTGAAGCATCTGCTGCAGAGAAGACAGAAAAACCAAGCTTCCTGGCTGGCAGGTGCCCAACCAGCTTCATCAGCCCCTTCCCCCTGTTGGGTTTTTTTTTTAAACCCTTACATCAGAACTTTAATCTTAAGTAGTTCAAGTTTGAATCGTTTTGAGATTAAAATCAGAGTTCTTTTTTTTTTTTTCTTTACATAATGAATCCCCTAAAACTCCTCTTGGAACCAGTATCCACTTTCTTCAGGAAACCAGCCAGCATCAAGCCACTAGCTCATTTTCTGAGCCTCCCCTAATACTAAATTGGTTTCTGAATGCTTGTAATTGCACACTTCTGCTGACCATGTGGGTCTTGTTTTATGAGCCTGTCAGACAAGATAGGCACCGGCTCTAAGGTCTGCCATGGGGGTTGAGGCTCCCCTGGGCTTTCAATTCAACTGGATGAATGAAGCAGAAACAGCATGTCTCCAGGAAGCAGGGTTGTGCTGGCAGGTCCTGAGGGAAGCTCCAGTGAAACTTGCTCAGTCCTGCAGTGAGTGGGCAGCTGGTTACTGAACACATGTGCTGCTAGCCCTATGTAGGTGTGGATGAGTGGAGTCTCTTCAAGTCTGGGAAGGAGACAGCAAGTGATAAAGTATGTGGCTCCCAGTCTGTGCCACAGTCCTGCAAATATATGCAATAAGTGGGGACAGGGCCAGCAGGGGCTTCATAGCACTAACCTGACCTGGATCCCAAAAGTTTTACATCAGGAGAGAAAGAAGGCCTGGTCACCAGGAGGTCTGCAAAGTGGGGAGACAGAAAAGACAAGGTGTGGGATATGAACGAGTGTGGGGATCAGGGGTAGAAGAGGCCCAACTTATGGCCCCTTTGTTCTTTGTAAGGCTTTACTCTGCCCAGTGTCACCCATTGTCTCCCTGCCTGGCAGGTCCACTCTGGCCCGATGCTGCAATGCCCCTGCCTTCCTCTTCACCACGCAAAAGAACACACCACTGGGGACAAAGCTCAAGTATGAAGTGGAGAACAGTGGCATGTACTACATCCACCAGGAGATTTTTCGCATGTTCCCCAAAGTGAGCTCTGGGCGGGGCTGCTGGGTGGGTGAGCACCCTGCCATGGCCCTTGAGGGCAATGCCCCTGTAGTTCAATATGTGACACACTGCTCTGTGGTGAGTTGGCCCTGGTTGACCAGATGTCATGATGCAGTAGCTCGTCCACTGGGCTTTCTTGGGGGTCCTATCTGGACACAACCAATGTCAAATGGCGTCCTCTTAGGTGGCTTGGGCAAGAAAATGTTTAAAATTCTAGCTACAGTATTGCCTGCAGAGGATATTGTGTTGATAGCTGAGTGTGTGGTTAACCCCAGTCCCCCACCTGAGGTAGGCACAAGACACACCAGAAAGTGCAACTCAATCCAAATTGAGGCACGAAAGATTTACATTTGACCTCAGGTGGTCATTTTGTCCTTCAAGGCCTAGTCTCTTTGTCTTTAACATGGGTTTGGACCAGGCATAGATTCAGTTACTCATAACAGATCATTTAAAAAGAGGCATAAAAAAGAGAGACATTCTTTTTACTTTTTATATGGGAAAGTTAGGGAGCTAGCATGGTGGCTCCCAACCTCTGAGGGCTACAACATGAAGTTCTACATTTGTGACCTATTGAGACTGGTGAGGCTCATCTGGGCTGATGTTGGTATATCTGACTCTTGGATAAGTGACCTCAGTAGCTGTCCTTTCCACTCGTTCAGATAATTCTGCAGGTATGGAGGGGTGCAGAGGCAGGTAGTATGAGGCATGCTCATAACCATGTGCGGAAAGCTTCGGGCCTAGGGGAAGATGTTGTAGTCCAGTTTATAGGAATGCAAAATGGAGGTATGTACAGGTGAAAATGAAATCTGAGGACCTAAATAGTCCTGTATTTCAGAGGGTGTTGGAGAGTGCTAACAAAGTGCTCCCCTCTATTCTCAGGCATTCTGATGGCTTGGGGAAGGACCTGAAAGCAAAGGGTGTTTTAGCTTTCTTCCTTTATCACAGTGCTGAGAAGCATGGCATTGAGCAGCCTCTATGAAGTAGATCTTATAAGTCCAGAACATGAAGCTGGTGACAGATAGACTTGCATCACACCGGTTACCCTGGTGTGAAGCAGCCTTCATGACCTATGTGTCCACAGAGACCCAAGACATAGACTTTCCAGGCACAGGGAAATCCAGTGGGACCACCAATGTTCTCTGGAGAAATCCAGGTAGTAAATGGGCTTTGCAGGTCATAATCACTGTCACAATTATTCACATCTGTTGTCCCAGCATGAAAACAGCCATGGATATCAGTAAACAAATGAAGATGACCACCATCTAATAACACAGAAATCTGAAATTTATATAATCTTCACATATAAAATATTCTTTGGATTGTGTCTTAGTTAACTTTCTTGTTGCTGGGACAAATTACCCAACACATACAAGTTAAAGGAGGAATGGTTTATTTTAGCCATAGTTTGTAAAGGTTTTAGTCCATAGTCAGCTGGCTCCAAGGCAGGACAGCATGGAAGATGGGAATGACAGAGGAGAAACAATCCATGAAGTGGTAGCAGTGGGATCATGGAGTAGGAGGGATAGATACATATCCCACCTCTTCCCACTAAGGTTCACCTTCCAACATCACAGTCGACTACAGACGCATCAGTGAACTAATCCAGTATCACACCCATGATTCAGTCACCTCCCTCAAAGCTTCATCCATGAGCGCATGAAACTTTGGAGGGACAACCAGATATAAGTCATAACAGATTTTTCCCCAACCATTTGAATATGTAAAATACATTCTCAGTTCTGAATCATACAAAAACAGGTGGAAGGCCAGATGTGGCCCATGGACTGTAATTTGCTGGTCCCCAAATTAGAGCATTTGACGTAGTATGACATTTCCCAAACCCCCTTAAAGTATGTATTCATTTCTGTTTATAGGAAATCCCACTTCTGTACCCTGGAGATTTTGATTCCATGACTCTTGAATGGGGCCTAGAAATTGATATTTTCAGATAATTCTTGATTTACAAAAATTTGGGAAACACCCATATAAAACATAGTAAGTCTTTGATAGCATTTCCAAAGATGAGTTTGGGTTTTCTCCTTCTTCTGATAAAAGTCTAATGTATAGTTTTTCCCACTGGCTGTGAGTTCCATGTGCTTTCCCTGTCCTGGGCTCCTGTCCTGTCTCTCCTGGGAGAGGAAACCGTGACTGTGGACCGTCTCCCGCAGATGGGTGCAGCATTACCTTCAGGTCACACCTGATTCCCCACGAGGCTCTCCTTGCAATGTGGTCTCATCAGAAGTCCACAATGCTGGCCGCAACCCTATCCTGAAGTGTTGTCCAGTTGCTGTATTAGCTAGGAGACAAGCAGCCCAGTGGGCCCTGGGTGTTGAGAGATTTTTGGAGCCACTAATAGTAACAATTCTCTTGCCTGCTCTACTCATCTGTAATGTAGACACCCACTTCCCTCCCACATTCCCTCTGAGACTCTTGGGGTCATGAGCTCACAGAGATGGACGTGGTTACAGAGGTGGGAACCCCAAGGAGTGTGAGGTAGGTTAGTGCTGATGCTGACGGCTGTGCACATCCTCTCCCATCCCTCAGGATATGCCCTACAACCGATCTCAGTTTAAGAAGTGCGCAGTAGTGGGCAACGGAGGCATCCTCAAGAACAGCCGCTGTGGAAGGGAGATCAATAGTGCTGACTTCGTCTTCCGGTAGGAAAACCACCCAGCCTGCCCCTGCCGACTGCACTTGGTCTCCTCATCATATGTAGCCCCGCCCCATGCCCTAATGCTTGTTCCTTCCCTTGCACATCCTCACACTTCGGGGTGTTCCTCTCTCCAGCTCTCTCTTTAGGTAAAGATGCTGAACTCTGAGGTCCTCAGTTTCCATAACTGCAGCACAGAGGCATATAATGAGCAAATGAAGCTGAAGCTCTGGGCCCACATGGGCCAACAGATCTAATAGTAGAGTCTCGGGGTTGCCGCCTCCCTTGCTGGGCTCCACCCCTCACAAGTACTTCTGGGAACTAGAACAGTCTTTTGGCTTCACTCTGCTTTGCCTGTTCTAGAGATGGTCCTTGTGTTTCTTTTTCCTTATGTAGAGGCTTCACTCTATCTCTAGGGATCCTCATTGTCCTCTTTATTGTTGTTTTTTTTTTTTTCTCTTTTTCCTTTTTTATCGGTACCGGGGATCGAACTCACGACTGCCTGCTGGCAAGGCAGGTGCTTATGCCGCTGAGCTAAATCTCTAGCCCCTCATTGTCCTCTTTAACCTGGTTAAGGACAATGGGTTGAAAAATGAGCATAAGGCAAAGAGCCTTGGACTGAGCCTGCAGTGGTATCTCATGGTTCCACTATCCCTGGGCTGCTCAGAATAGTGATGGGAAACAAAGGAGGAGGAGGTTTAGGAGGTCCTAAAAGAAAGATAGCTCTCACTATGTGGGGTTCCTTGACAGTGCAAACCTAGCCTTCTGTCCCTACAAGAAGGAAACCAAGGGCAGACTCCTGCTCCAGGCTCAGAAGTAACATTAGCACCATAGATGGCATGTGTTAGAGACACCTCCGTGGCGGTCAAGTCAGCTGCATAATCCCCGAATGCACCCAAACTGCCCAGCTGGAGGCTAGGAGTGCTCCAACTCCGTACTGTTTCCTGACTCTAGCACTAAACCTGGCCCGTAGCTCTGTGGCGATGCTATGGAAAGCCTGAAAGATGTCTTTCAGTGAGTTGCCCCGGTCTCTGGGGGTCCACCTGAACTTCATATATCTAGAGGCTCTGAGACTGGAGCCTGCATTTAAATTAGGGACTGTGGCAGCTTCTGCTTGTGAGTGACCTAACCACTCGCCCTTTGTTTTCTGAGATGGTTGGTAAGGTGACCATACCCTGGGGATGTATGTCTGGATTATATAAGTTAATATTCATTTTGAGTAAAATTTTCAAGCAATGCAGAACATTAGAAACTGTATTAGAAAAAATCACTGCCTTTTAATATTGCTCCCATTTTTTAGATTGGGTGAGGGAGTGACAGCCTATGTGAGGATCACATGGGTACACACGGTAATAGCTGGAGATGTGGTTCTGGCTGTGTCTTCCTCCTGCTATTCTATAACAGGTCTGCAGCTCCAGAACAGAACAGGAAACTCACAGGGAGCTCTCCGTCTTGCTGCCTGGGACCTGTTGTGGCATCTAGATGTTGGATTTTGGAGGAGTTTTGGAGGACCATGGGTCATTTCATTGCTATCATTATCTTCTCACACGCAGTGCTGCAGTGGTAAAGCCTTACTGAGCGCTGCTGTGTGCACTCCAGACACGGGAGTCTCCGCATGTTCCAAGCAATGTCCCTGCCGGATGGTATCATATTGGGAAAGAGTCCTAGGCTTGAGTGCTTTACTTTGCCTTAACCATAACATAGCAGCAGGAGCATTGATCTAAATGCCCAGTTACTCACTGGCAACACAACGAACCTCCCATCTGCCCCTTGAGGTTATTGATGTCTCGTATGAACCTATGAAAATTCCTGACATGTCATAGGTGCTCCATAAATGATAGTTGACTACACACACATACATGTGCGTGTGCACTTGCTTTCATCTTTAGGGGAATACAAACCAGTCTTTCTCCCATCATAGTCTGATAGGAGAGGTATGGTTAGATGATAAGATGGGTGATGGTCCTTGTCCAGTTTTAGAGGGTTCTTCTGAGCAATTATTCTTTAAGCCAATAACTTTTCCTGGATGAAGGAATCTATCCCCTTCCTAACTCTCTTCCCTTGGTTTTTACCACTGTCTTTGTTCTGTTGTGCCAGTCACTCCTGGAGGCCTCCTTTTTTCTTCTACCATAGGGTCTTCGCAAGATCTCTGACAGAAATCTTTGTGATCTCCACATCACCCAGTTAATGTCCACTCCTTTTCATAATTTATTCTCTCATTATGTAGCATTTGATGGGAGAATATCAGTATCAGTTCTATATATACGAAGAAAATCAGTAAAACAAATATCTTTAAACTAACTACTTCAAGAGCCAGGTGTCGTGGTGCACACCTGTAATCCCAGCACTCAGGATGCCATGGTAGGAGGATCACCATGAGTTTGAGGCCAGCCTGCACTATATAACTACACCCTGTCTCAAAAACAACCCCCAAATTAAAAAAAGCCCAACCATATCATTTAAGAAGCAGAATGTTTATATGGAGCGATTGTAACAACTGATGTACTCTTCCATTCTACCTTTTTCCCCAAAGATAATAATTACCCTGAATTTTGTACAAATTGTTAAAAACCATTATTACATGTTGACATACCATAAATACTTATTGCTAAAATTTGTTTATTTGGAGTTTCTCTCCTACTGCTGCTACCACAAAGTCAGTGACTTGAAACAACACGAATTTTATCACTTCACAGCCCTGGAGATCAGAAGTTATAGAGTTAAGGTGGTGGCAGGGCTGCGATCATCCTGGAGTTTTGGGGAGAATCGGTTTCCTTACCCTGCGTTCCATGGCTGGGACCCCTTTAATTCCAGCAGTGTGGCCTCTTCCAGTTGGATTCTGATGTTTTCTTCACTGTCCTTCACTGTCACATCACTTTCTCTGACAAAGACCCTTCTGGACCCACCTGTATAATCCCATCTGAAGATCCTCCCCATAACTGAAGCTTCAGTGTCCCTTTTGTCCTCTTCTGTAAGGTCCATGTTCACAGGTTCAAAGAATGAGGATATTGTAGACATCATGAAAGGCCATGACTCTCTCTACCACAAGGGCTTTCTACCAGCTACATTCCTTGTGAGCTCTGTGTGACTTGCTTTCACTTGGTTCTGCAGGTCTAAGATCCATCATCAAACACATCTCCCGCTTAGCTGATCCAAGTCTTGTTAGTGTGCTTACCTTTGACCTTAGTGTAAGTGTTGCTTTCTTAGAGAAACCTTCTTGGGCTGCCCTGCATCTGTATGCTTAGGGCTCTGACCAGGTCCTCCAGAGGCCCAGGACTACAGCAGCTTTTAACTACAAGCTTCACATGGTTGAGCATGTCTGCCCCATGACTGGAACTTTAGCAAAACCAGGTGCAAGTCTGTTTGCTGTCCCCATGCCTGATATGTAGCAGAAGGAGCACTACCTTATTACCTGGCCACAGAGGTCCCACCCAGCTGGCAGCCTCTGTATCCCTCTGCTTCAGTGATCACCACCCCTGCCTTCCCCATGCCACTGTCTGGACACCTGCAGAATGATTCCACCTGAGTTGGGCTACCTGTCTCTTTTGCAGGTGCAACCTGCCCCCCATCTCTGAAAAGTACACCGTGGATGTGGGGGTGAAGACAGATGTGGTCACTGTGAATCCCAGCATCATCACAGAGAGGTCAGTGGCCCTCTCTCTGGAGCCATACGATCCTATATGGCCCACAGTCACATGAGCTGTGGGCACTGGGAAGCGAGCTTGTGCTGGCTGTCAGCATAAATACACTCTAGATTTCCAAGACTTAATACAAACAGAAGGATGTAACACTGATTTTCAAAATATTAATCGCATGTTGAAATGGTAGTAGTTTTAATATATTAGATTAAATAATCTAATTCTTCCATTTCCAAAATGTGCTTGCTGGAATATTCAGCATTACAACTGGGGCTTGCATTCTATTTCTTCTGCACGGTGTTGATCATCTAGGGATGGTTCAGAAGCCTCCAGGGCAGGTGTGACCAGGGCAGGTACATCCTGCCAGGTGCATCCAAGAGAAGCTTCATGCAAAGATCTCCCCACCAGAGGTCTTCGTGGGGAGGTCTCCGGAGGGGAGTGTTGCAACCTGATACTAGAATAGCCCCTCCAGGTTGGATGAGGGGTAGGGAGGGGCAGTGGAGAGGAAAGGGGAGAAGGGAGGCAAAGAAAGAGGAGAGAAAGGGAAAAGGGAGAGAAGGGGATGAAAGGGGGTGAGCAGGCAGTCGTTAAATTGCATCAGATCCCAAGATAGCCCACAAAGTCGTGTGTGGAGGATCTTTGGGAGAGGAATGGCCGAGAGAAGGCAGATCCTTGTACAGGAAAAGGTGTAGAGCTAAATCTGGAGGCTGAAAGCAGGGAGCTGGGAGGGAGGGCTGAGCCAGGACAGGCAGTTGGATTTGGGCGCAGTACTGGGGGGTTTGGGGAAGACAGTGCTAGGGCCTAAAACCTCCGCTTGCCAACCACTCCCCCTACCCCTGCCCCTCCCGCCCTTGTAAAAAATAAAATCATACCTGGGAAAGACTTTATCTGCTGAAGTACACAAGGAGGGACTGCCTCCCTCTTCCCCATCCTTGGCAAAGTCCCCCAGGGTGCAGGGTGCTGGGTGCAGGGTGCAGGGTGCAGGGTGCCGGGTAAAGATGAAAGGATGTTGCCGCCCATCTCACTCTCCACCCTGCGGCAGGTTCCACAAGCTGGAGAAGTGGCGGCGGCCCTTCTACCGTGTGCTGCAGGTGTACGAGAATGCGTCAGTGCTGCTGCCCGCCTTCTATAACACGCGCAACACTAACGTGTCCATCCGGGTCAAGTACGTGCTGGATGACTTCGAGTCGCCGCAGGCCGTCTACTATTTCCACCCGCAGTACCTGGTCAACGTGTCACGCTACTGGTTCAGCCTGGGGGTGCGGGCCAAGCGCATCAGCACTGGCCTCATCCTGGTCACTGCGGCCCTGGAGCTCTGCGAGGAAGTGCACCTGTTCGGTTTCTGGGCCTTCCCCATGAACCCCTCTGGCCTCTACATCTCCCACCACTACTATGACGACATCAAGCCCCGCCCCGGCTTCCACGCTATGCCATCAGAGATCTTCAACTTCCTGCATCTGCACAGCCGTGGCATCCTCCGAGTGCACACGGGTACCTGCAGCTGCTGCTGAGGCTGGTGGTTGGCTTGCCCGGACGAACCTGTCCTCCTCCTCTCTCTCTTACTGAAACTGGAAGACTCTAAGTGGGGCCTGGCAATTAGGCAGGGAGGCAGAGACGGGGCCAGCCCAGACTCAATGTCAATCCTAACCCTCTTGGGCCTCCCTCTTGTCCACTGTGGAAGGGAGGGGGGATAACCTGGGCCATGCCCTAGAAACAGGGAACCTGGAGATTGCAAGTCAATAAAGCACATTTCCACTGGATTTCAGCTTCCCAGAGAGCACAAACTGTAACGGCTCCGTTGTAGCCAAAGGCAGGCCCCAGGGAGAATGGAGTAGAGGGAAGAGACAGGACACTTGAGCACAGTTGAGATTTCATGCCAACCTTCTGTTCCTGAGTTTCATGCTGAGGACCGAGCCTTGAGTTTTTTTTCTAGAATCTCAGAGTATAGAGGCCAACCCAGCGGCCAGACTTTCCAGTGAAGACACAGTGGCTCAGAGCGTCCAGAGCTGGTCAATCCAATTGTACTACCCCACTTAGCCCAGCCAGTGTCATGGTGACATCTAACCAAGGCCAGTGTTAGCATCTTCCCTGAGTCGCCAGCAGCTGAAAGCCACACCCTTGCAAACCTTCCCTGAGAAGCATAGAAACAGTCTTGATGCCTCTGGGTTCCATTTTGCCTTTGATCTTTTGACGAGAAGAAAATAAACCAACCCAGCCATTTGCACTTCAGGTTTCAAGCCAATGTTATCCACTCAATAAGTGCTTAGCAGTTTGCTTCCTTTTCTGTCAGTCTATTTTCAGCTTCATTTTTAACCAGAAGTTATTTATAAAGCTCTGTTCCTCTTCATGTTCCTGAGTACTGCAGAATCCTGCTGTATCGTGTTCCTGAGTGGGAACCATCAGCCAGAAAGTGCTGGCTGTTATATATGGACTTAGTACAGAAAACCAGTGGAGCCTCTGATACCAGCATCCTTGAGGCTTCTCCTGGAGAGGCAGGACCCTACAGTGCATGCCTAGCACCTTATATACAGTGACTGTCTCCTAAGCCCAAGCTTCTGGAAGTCAACTGTGCCTAGGCCAAGTGGCCAGGGGTCATTCACATATGAAATTCTTTCCCTTTGTTTCCCTCTGTGTGTTTCCACTCTGAGCGTGACTGTGCCTCATAGACACTGTTGGTGAATTGTCTCTGAATTTAGGTTTGTGTCTGTAGAGTATTAGTGCTTGGAAGACTTCAGCTTTCTCTCCCTCCTGTCTCCCTCCCTTCCTTCTTCCTTTCCTCCTCCCTTAAACATATCTGGAAAGCCTGTTCTGCTGGGGTCCATGGTGGTCTTGGGGAGATACAGTGACAAGGACATTAGTTCTGTCTTCTAGGGATAGAGACAGATCGTACATACCCTGAAGTTCTGCATGCCACGCCAGCAGCTCCAAGTAGGAGCTGTGAGAATACTGCCAAGAGCCTCCACCTGATCACCTAGCTTTATAGGCAAAGCCATGAGTCCAGCAGAGAGAGACAGAGGAGAAATCTAGGTGGCCCTCCAGGATCCCACTCCCAGGCCTCCTTCTCTGAGCTCTGTTGCAAGTGGGTGGTGCTGATGCCCAGAGTGTGCTGGATGTGATTTTCACAGTGTTTTTGGGCTCTGGTCTGGACTTGGAGCTTCAGGCTCCCCAGAGCCCCAGTCTACTGGTCTGTAAAAAGGAGCAGCCCCTGAGAGACTCAGACATTTGGGAACCTGGGGTAGACTCTACAGGACAGTAGATGATGACTGCTTTCTTGGGGAAGATTCCAGTCAAATGAAATTTCTAGCCACTATTCAGGTTAGTTGAACCCAGTTCTTGAAACCCATTTAAGGAAACAGGCTGGATCAGGGAAAGGGCCTGATCAAGTCATGCTTTGGGTCCTACCTACTTAGTGTGATAGAGCCCTCTACCATAGGTCCTCTGGGGAACAGGTGTGGTTTGGTCGGAAAGTATTGGGGCAGGAGCTTTTGTGAGTCAGACATTAGGATCCCCATAGATCAGGGTAATGGGAGTGCATTTGTTCCAGCCAGGGCCCTTGTAGGAGCACTGAGATCCAACCCAAGTGAGAGATGGATACTAACTTATGGCCATAATTTTGCCTGTGGGTTTAGAGCAAGTTCCTTCTCTCTCTTAGGATCTCCATTGCCTCATCTCTATAAAGAGAGGCTTAAAACACCTCTATTATTTATTTATTTGAACTGAGAATCAAACTCAGGACCTTATGCTTGCCAGCCCCAGCCCCCAATAATCATTCTTAAAAACAGTCATGATGTATGGATAAAAGCCATAACTACATTTATTGTTATAATAGCTAAGATTGATCATGCTGTCATTCTGTGTCCAGCCCTACACTGAGCACTTTCTCTGCGTCATCACCCAGCATCACAAGACCCCTCAGGTAAGGATGCTGCTTGGTACAGGTGAGGTGGTGAGGCTCAGGGCAACTCAGAGGGTGTCCATGGTCGGGCATCCAAGGGAGAGGACTGCACTTGGGTCTGTAGGACCCTAAAACTTGACCTCCAAACATCAGTCTTAGCTCTCTAACAAGTATTGCTAGGCTGGAGTAAGAGGGATCCCAACAAAGATGCCTCCACAGGGTGGTACTAGGCTCTGCCCTAAGGACAAATGCCCTAGAGAGTTGTCCTGGGTGCAGAGACAGCATCTGCTCTCTCCCAGCTCTACCCTCTGCAGCAGTACCCACTTAGAGCAGCCCTGGAGAGGAACTGAGGACCACTTCACATCCTTTGGATGGGGAGAAATGCCCAGAAAGTTTATGTATTATAACAACACAAGTAACTTGCCCAGAGCCACATGGCTAGCTAGAGGCTCAACTGGGACTCACCCAGTTGCCTGCCTTTCAGGCCTTTCTCCTGTACACAGTGTTTGTAGGAAAAAATATTCTTCCAAAAGCTCAGAGATATCTGAGCAGTGATTCTAGAAGCTCTCTGCCATGTTTCTCTGAAGCCTTGTCACTGTCCCTCTGTGAGGTACAGACAGACAGTTACATTCTTATTTAGGGGAAATCAATTCCCTATGAACAAAACAGCTGTCATGTCTTCTTTTCTGCTAAACCCACTGCTCGAGGCTTGAAGGGCAGCAAAACACCATTGATGATTTGATGCTTAGCCAAGCAGGAAAGGTGGCGGCTCAAGATCAGACAAGCCTATGGAACTGGTTCAGCAGTGCTGTAGCGGCAACTCTGCCACTCTGATGCTGCAGACAGCAAAGAGGGTCCTAGCCCTGGACTCTGCTGAATATGGGGAGGAGGCAGGGGAAGCACTTTCTGACAGTAAATGGAGAGCAGAGTGCTGGTTCCCAGTCCAGACTAGCACTTATTTTTTGCTAGACATTGTGCTAGGGACCAGGGAACAAGTGGTGATTAGAAGCATAGTCCCAGCCCTCCAGGTGCTTAGTCTGGTGTATATATGGATGGTCAGTGAACACCCCGCACACACTGGAGCTCAGTGCAGAATACAGTGAAGTCCCTTCTTGGGGATGGTTAGCTGGGAGAAGAGGGAAAGGGGAGGCAGAGTCAGTTCTGTCCTAAGGCTGGCACCATACATATTGTCACTGCCAAGATAGGGTGAATCCTCAGGTCTCATCCTCAACAGTCCTACAGAGTTGGGTAGGGGTGGCCTCTCTTGCCTTTTTGAAGTTCTCCGTCCTATGTGCAAGTCTTTTCTTTCCCTGCCTCTTTAAATGCTCCTCCTCAGCTCGCTTGTGACTTTCCTGTGAAGCCTCCTCAGGGTTCTCTTCTCTTCTGGGAGCCTCCTGCAGAAACTGCATCTACTTACTGCTCCCAGCACCTTCTGCCCTTTCATCTTAGTCCTCTGCCCCTGCAGATCAGTCTCCCAGGAACAGCCAGGGCATAACTACTGGTGACTCTGCACCTGCACCTGCATCTGCATCTGTTCCATGGCTCAGATTTCAACCTGCCCTCAACTGCTGCAGTTAAAAGAACAACCTGGACTCAGCATCTCCTCCCATTGCCGAACAGCTATGTGACTTTGGGAAGCTCGCAAAGTTCCTGCAGGCTCTGATTCATTATCTCAAAAATGAGGCCAGGACTCCAGCTGCACCGGCTATTGTGAAAGCTGGATGAAACAGTGTACATAGTCAGGCATGGCGGCTTAGATCTCTCAGGCCAGCACTCTGGGAGGCTGAGGCAAGAGGAGTACAAGTTCAAGTCCAAGTGGTGCAAGTTAGCAACTTAGTGAAAGCCTGTCTAAAATATAAAAAAGGGCTGCAGATGAAACCCAGTGCAAAGGTGCTGGTTCAATCCCCAAAACCAAAAAAGAAAAAAATGAAATGGTGTTGCACACTGTGTCACACAGAGCCAGCTCTTAACTAGGCACTCGGAACCTACTCTTTCTGCTCTGGTCTGTCTCTTCCCTTATCAACCTCTGTGTTTATTTGCTCAACAAATTTTGCCAAGTTTAATCATAAATATCTCTTGGGTTCACTCCCTTCCTGCATCCCCTCTGTCACTGCACTAGCGCAGGCTCTTCTGAGTGACCTTCCCCCTCTTAGAGTTACCATCTGAAGTACCTTTCATGGGGCTGGTGCCTGCCTATACCATGATAGCCAGGCTCTTTACCAACTCTTGTGAGCTGTGTCCCAATCTGGTTCCCTCCTCTTCTCTGAGACCCTCCTGCCTGTCTCTGCCCACCGCTCCAGGCACTGTCTCTTTAGTTGCCTGGGGTGGCCCCACACCCTTCCTCCCTCTGTCTGTCTGTCTGACCATTTTCACAGATGTCAGGATATGGCTTTTCCTACCTCCCTCCCTCTCTGGGCCTGGGCTTGACACTCTTTTCTTTGTGCTGCTGTGACCATCACTGTCATCCTCTGAGCACATAGTGGAAATGTCGTAAGTGTCCTAGTGTCCTTGGTAGAGGGTCTGTCTCCTCCATCAGGGAAGGCCTGGTATCTAGTTCATCTTTGTGTCCCCAGGACTAGCACAGGGCCACACATCTACTCCAGTAATGAGGTATCTGGTTCCTAGTAGCCTCTAGTACTTTGGGAGGCTCCACTAATAAAGCAAGAAACACTGCGAGGAAATTGCCAGTGGAGGGCATCCAGGATTGTTTGTTTGTTGCCTAGCACATTCCAAGAAGGCAGGGACTCACCTTGTTCATCCTTGGCAAGCTTGAGGCCTCGGGACTGGACTGTCCGTACTGGGGGCCTCCTCAGGCTTGCCCTCCTTTTTAAAATTAGTTTCCCCCCACTATAGTCTTATTCTTCTGCTTCTTGCTTGCTAAGCAGTCCTCTTTCTCTAGTTCAAACAAAAGAAGAGACAGACATTCTCTAGTTTTATTCCTTTCCCTTTCTTTTCATCTTCCAAACTTCACAGATACATCAGGATCTTATATTTCTTCAGGTGACATAAAAGGTAGGTTGCTGTATACAAAGTATACAATAGTACCTCAAAACCTAGAGGAAAATGCTTTACATTTGGGGTAGGAAACAGATGAGCTGGGTTTTGCAGAATGTGTGCTCTAAATGTCCAGTGGAAAGCCAGGGCTGTGGGGTTTTCCCTGGGGGGCAGTGGGTAGTGGTCTTACTTTGAGTTCAACATACCTTTCGCTGTCTCTCTGAAGCCAGAATGCTCCTCTAGAAGGAGTCTGGTTGTGCCTCCTGGATTAGTTGAGGCCAGGCCAAGGGTGTAAGATCAGCAAGGTAGACCTTCTGTTCTTCTTGGGAGGTCTGTTCAAAAAAGGCCAGCCTGTGGAGGCTGAGTAGTCTACAGGACATCTTAATAAGGCATCGTGTTCCTCAGAGGTAGACCCTAGGTCACCTGCCTGAGAGCCAGCTGGGTGCTTGCTCCAACAATGGATTCAGAATCTAGAGTGAAGTGGTGATGCCTGGCAGTCAGCATGTGTGACATCCTTGTTTGCATACCTGTTTGTGGTTGAGTGACTGCATCTGGCTTGATAGCCAGACTGGGGTCTAGAGTGGAGAAAGAATGAAAATGACAGTTTTGGCACACACCCCAACTTGGTGTTTTCTATACATATAAAATAAGCCTACTATTAACCTAGTAACAAAAATCAAATCTCAGGCACTCAATGTTTATTAATTCTGTTTTACTTCACCACTAACGAGATTTTTGTCTCTTTATAATTATTAGTCATAGTAAAATCCATATAACATAAAATTTACCATCTTAAACATTTTGAAGTGCAAAGTTTAGGAGTGTTGAGAACATCCACATTGTTGTGTGATGAATCTGTAGAAATCCTCTCATTTTACAAACTTAAAAATCGAATCCATTAATGACAACAGATTTTTTTTCTCCCTCCACAACCTGGCAACCATTCTTCTGTCTATGAATTTTTCTGCTGTAGTTCCCTTCTGTGAGTGAAATCATGCAATCTTTCCTTTCCTTCCTTCCTTCTTTTTTTCTTTCTTTCTTTCTTTCTTTCTTTCTTTCTTTCTTTCTTTCTTTCCTTCCTTCCTTCTTTCTTTCTCTCTTTCTTTTTTCTTCCTTTCTTCTAGGCTTATTTTGTTTAATATAGCGTACTTCCTAAGTATAAAGAATCATGATATAAGAGATTCCTGGTTCCACAAAAAAAAAAAAAAAAAAAAAAAGAAAGAAAAACATCAGTAAGGTACAAGCTGTTCTAAAATGGTGACCTTTTTCAGTGCTCCTTTAGCAGAATTCTGGCTTTTGTTTTATTTTGAGCCATTGTTCTGGGCCCTTAGTTTGCCAAGGTCAAGTACAGATCTAGTCTTGCTTTGCCAGAGGGCTCATGTATCTTGGCCAATTGATGTCCTGAATGACAGCAGTCTTGCCAATCTGTTAGAAGTCTTTAGATAATTTTTTCCTGCATAATTTCTACTATGGAACTTTTAAAACATTTTTTTCAAAGAAAAGAAGAGAAAAATAGACACTACTGTGCTTTAACTTTTACCACAAAAGCCAGCAATCAGTGACTGTCTCCTTCCAGTTCAGATGGTCCTCTTGGCAATGAAGTCACTCAAGTCCTTCAACTAGATGATTTACTCAGCTTGGTTTTGTTTTGGTACTGGAGATCGAACTCGTGACCTTCCACTTGCCAGGTAAATGCTTTGCTTTGCAGCTATATCCCCAACCCATTCTCAGTTTTTAGGATTTGTGTTCTTAGCCCTGAGCTCATTGGTTCTGGGCTCTCCTGAAGTTTCTGGGTTGAGAAGGGCTGTTTAGCAAGCTCCCATGACATAGTGACGTTGGCCTAGGCACTACATTATGAGGACCACTGCCCTGAGTGATCTTTTAACTACACTGACCCTGTTCCGCTGCATTATGTTTCTTGGTTGGGAACCCCTCCCCCAAAATCTGAGTTGGGGCTTTCTTCTTCTGAACAGTTTAAATGTTTAAATAAACATTAAGAGATACTTCTGAAGCAAGTTAGCAGACTTCCCAGCATTAGGAAACTCAGTGTGCTGAATTTTGCATTCCATCTGTGCCTAGAATTAGGATGTATCTTGTGATCAGAAATAAGAGGTGGGTGACTCTGGCACTTGGGACCCTGGTGAGGGCACTTTGTGGCTAATCCTTTGGTAGGATATGAGTCTCCTCCTACACGCTCTGGCACAGGGAGGATTTACAGGCTACCTGGCTAAATGCAAGACACACTTTGCAAAACCATGCAAAACCCACCTGAAGGGGACAATGAGGGAACATACTACAGTGGCCAAGGCTGCCATAGTCCTACGTCTTCTTTTTTTACTTGCTTTTGAAAAATCTTGAGTCGAAACAGTTAGTACCTGGTTTCTACTTTTGTCTTGTCTTCTTCCAACCAGAGGCAAATTTCTTTCCGAGATGTCCCTAGTGTGCAGAGCTCTAACCCTGTGACAGCTCAGAATGCAGTGTTCAACCATCAAGTTCACAGGAACCTCTGAAGATCTTGAAAAACTTATTAAAAGTGAAAACAGTTACCATTTTACTAAAACAATTAACACTTCATTTCCCAGATCTACTTTGCAGCAAGTTCCTTCAGCCCACAGGTAGCTGAAAACTCAGAGGAAGTAAAGTAAGTTTTGAGCCCCAGAAATAGATTGTAAATCCATACATCAAAGGCCGAACCATTTGTGAACAACAAATCCCTTTTGACTTTCTCTTTAATTTTAAATTCAATTCTCGTGAACTTGGTCCTAGATTTTAATAATGAAGTAAACAAAGAAAATGATGAGAGGTGCTAGATATGCCAAAAAGTGGCAGCTAATAGTCTAATTGCAAATGCATTCCAAAGACCAAATCCATGCAAGCCAGCAACTGTCATGTGATCTGAGGCCGCAGAGTGGAGGGGCAGGGATATTGTAACACTCTGCAGGGCAACAGAGCATTCAGCCCAGTTCAGCCTTTGTCATGCACGGCACACACAGAAACAGTGAGAAGGCAAGGCAGCATCTTATCCACTTTAGAGTTATTTCCATCCCCAAACACTAAAGCACATTCATCAAAGTCTTGGTGCTTAAAAAATCATCTTTGGTCATCTTGAAGTTCATGTAGGTGGAACAGCTCATTGTCTGATGATGCCGGACATCTGAGATGAGTAACACCCTCTCTTGTGCTTGCCTTTCTCCTCACATTGTGGCAATTCTTTCCTGCTTCCTCCCTTCCAAGAAAAGCAAGATTAGGCCCCTTCTACCTTCATCTCTCCAAGGGACGTTGTGTCATGGTTGATGGCTTGGCCAGGACAGCCTCTTTCAAAGGGCCTCTGCTCTGTTTGTGATATTCTTGCTGCTTGTGATATTCTTGTTTAATGCACATGGGAGGAAGGGCAGTGGGAGTCAGGGCTGCCTCTGCAGCAACTCAGACCTGGGTTAATTTATGAACTTAAAAATATGACTTTTCCTCACAGGTAGACACTTTTCCTTTCTAAACACCTTCACCATCCATTTCTCTCTGGGTTTGCTGCATCCTGGGAGGAGGACAAGGCGGACATAGCAGTCTGTTTGACTCAGGCCCAGGAAGATGGTGGTGGCATGCCCAGGTTGTCTATTTGATGATGCAGGCCTCCACTTAGCTTCCCAAGTTTTCCCAAAGTGGGAGAGGCTGGAGGACAGGGAGAGGAAACAGTGTCCTAGTCTCGCTTCCCATTTTTAGCCTTCTCTTTGGGGCTATCTAGCTGATCTGGAGTATGGTCCAGGTCTGCGCTTTACCCTTGTACTTATACCTTGCCCAGCATCCATGTGGAAGGACTTGTTAACCATTCATTCCTTCCTGGAGGCCAGGCCTAGGGCACTCAGAACCAGCAGCCCTGAGTAGACGTTCCTGATGGGAGAGGGGAGGCAGTTGTATTTTAGTTGGCTAGGCTATAGATTTAAGTAAAGTGGGAAAGTGGAGGGAATGGGCATCAGGGTCCAGTGATATCAGCCTACCTCACTGCTGTGACCATTTGTGAGGCAGCTGGTAGGTCCCAAGTGACAGCTCCTGCCAGCCACCTTGGAGCCAGCCCTGCTACACATTTCTCCTGGCTGATGATAGGCCCTCAGAAGTGCCTGACTTCTGAGCAAGTCCCTCTACTTGAGGTTATTTTGTGGGGCAACCAGTCTTTCCTGAGGTTCCTACTCTGCACAGATGAGTTACAGAGATGTCAGGGACTTGGTGGCCTGCAGATTTCTAGATAGGACTCATCTCTGTATAGAAAGTCATAACCATGACACATTTTCACAACTGTGAAATAAGTGTATATGTGGTTATATTCTTTAAAATGATCACTTCATTTAATAAGGACCTAGGGTTGCTCAGGGGGTCATTTGAAATTGATCCTCTGCCACATATTCTGAATAAAACCAGGGTAGATACTGAGAGAAGCGGAAGAGCTAGGGAAGCTGCTTGCCCATTGTCTGTACCTCTGCACCTGGTGAAGCTTCAGCCCAGAAGCCCTGCCTGGGTGACAGAGGAGCTTGTTCCAAGAGGTTGGTGGTGCTGACTCATCTCTCAGTGGCCTCTTCCATTGCTTGACCCATCCCTCCCTGCTTTCCTCTCCAAGAGTCGTTATGCTATGCAATGCTCCATGGAGCCTTCCTCGCTGGAGAAAGAAAAGGAGCTTCACTGCCTTTGCTGGAATGTAGAGTGTCTTGCTTTGTTAATTTGCTCTCCCCCTGGCCCTGCAGAGAAACAAGTTGTGCCAGTTAGAAAGACTTGAAGAGGGGAGGGGGAACACCACTAGCCTATTTTTATGCAATGTTCTGTGAGCAGAGCATTGGCTCATAAAACTCCAGTGATGCTAAGTCCAGTTGTGTGTGACTGTCCTTGAGTAGTGATTTTGCAATGATAACTGGCACTGTGGGCATAAAAACATTATCAGGGTACTTTGTGTCTGTCACTGTGTTTGAAAAGTCCTTAATTTCTACCCAATAAAATCAGTCAAATGGTTTATCTGGCAAAGAGTCTGGTTTTGTGAATATATGTGTGTGTATATACCCATCTCTGCACATGTATGCATGTGTGGATTGAGGTGTACTGGGCTAACAGCAGCACAGCCCAGTGACAGGAGGTTCAAGGTGTTCACAGGAGCTCATGACCATCTGGGCACATCTTTAGGCAGTGTTGGGGAAGACTGTGGTGTCTGGTAGAGGTGGCAATTGAACCAGAGAAGGAGGTGGGCTTACATGGCAGGTTCAAAGATAAGATCAGGACAAAGTAAGCTGGAGTGCTGAATTGACAGGTAAGAGTCCATCAGGACATGGAAAGAGGATGTTGGGGCTTCATTAGGAGGAGAGAGAGTCCCTGGGGGCTGGAGCTGCCTGGAGCAGGAGAAGTTTGAAATACACCCATCCATGGACATAGACTCTCATAGCTCTGCAAACCTGCATTCTCTAAGCAAAACCTACCTATCAAGGTTCAGAGTCACATCAAAGGCACCTGAGTATGAATAACACCTCATGAAGAAACAGGTTTGGGGTTACAATCTATCGGATCTTGATCTAGATCTCCCATCTCCCAAATGAGTGTATGGCAAAGGCTTACATAAAATGAGACAAGTGATATAATTCTAGGGCTATAGGAGGGTCAAAATCCTTTAGCTGAGACTCTGAGGGCTATGACAAAGACTTCTCTGGACTGCCCATTTTTATTAGGTCCAAAACAAAGGGCAGGGAAACTGAGGAAAGCACAGTCAATGAGCAGGATCTTGGGAGTCACTTTAAGGATGTCTCCAAGTAATGAATCATGTCAGTTTAGGAGAACCATCTTATCATGAAGACATGTTAGGAATGTAGTAGTAATTTCTGCAGCTGCAGTCTCTACTTAATTGATGTTTGAGCCAAGTGTCTGCACCTGTGGCCTTATCTTGCTCTTTGAAGTGTCTGTAGCCTCACAGGCCACTATAGGCCTCAGCCAGGACCAGTGATTCATAGGGGTTCACTTACTATGAATCAGCTGTCGCCAGGCAAGGGGCCTAGGTCTAGGACAGACTCCCAGAGAAACATAGAGAGCCAATTAGTTAATTTTAAATCCTGTTCAGAGCCACTTCATAGAGGTGTCTGACAACATCTCAGCCGCAGAGTTCTCTTGACTAACATGAGTGGGGCCTGATGTTTGATCTCCAGCACTGAAAACAAAACAAAACAAGAAAATCACCACCAACAAATTTTGGTACCAGTCTGTGTGAGTGCACTTATAATAGAACTATATCATTTTTTCTTTTTTTTTTAAATTTTAAGGAAAAAAGAAAAAAAAAACACAGAAAAAGGGTACAAGTTATACAGAATTTCAGAAAAAATAAACAGTGGGAAATCACTAGTTAATAGATTACATATTGTCATCTTAGAAATAGTTGTTCAAGTTACAAAATTAAAGCATATAAAGTGGACATTCAAACAGTGAGACTGCAAACAGTTCTGTTCAATGATCCAACAAAACTCAGTAATATGGTTATCTATCTTATACACTTAAATATACATGCAGTTATATCCTTTAGAGCACTTTCTTTTCCTCTCTTTTGTACCATGACAATTACACATTTTGGGTTTTATTACTCCCACAGTTCTTATTACTTTTCTTGAAGAGAGTAAAACCAAATGTGGCATAACAAAACAGAGCCAGTCAAATCAAAAGGATGGACATAATATATAATGTAAAAACAGAATACAAAGTGATCAACAATGGTTACCACAATGGTTAAAAAGATTTGCCTATAGCATCAGTTATATAAAATTGAACAAGGCAGTAAAGAACAAAACCAATAAAACCAAAATATTGGAGACATTACAGGACTTCAAAAGAAGATAATAGTCAACCAGAATGGCATCATAATGAATCTTATTGTCTTCATAGTTGTTGCCTATACTTTCGAACTTGGTACTATCAAGCAAAACAGAATAGAGGAAAATCAGTCAAAACAAAATGGTGAGAGCAATACAGTGTTTCAGATCAAGTTAATAGGAAATTAAAATGGGTTACTATAATATATCCTGCTATTTTTATTTATTTTTCCCTTATTAAAAAGATAAAAATAAAAATGTAAATATTACAGAAAGGAGATTGATATAAAAGAGGGCATAACAATAAAACAGTGCAGGTCAAAACATAACCATTTAAGCAAAATAGTGTTTCACCCCTAGATATCCCGACATAAAAGTAGTTACCATAGTGTCTCTTTCCTTGAAATCTTTGAGTGTAACTTCATGTACTGTAGCATCAAACATGTCAAGACAATGTAAAACCATTCAAGAGAATGACAGGATTACAGAGTATTTAGAATCAACTAACAGAAAATGAACAATGGTTTCTGTATAATCTCCTTATCTATAAAAGTTTTTGTTTGTATTATCACATATAATAAAATCCAATAAGATACAACATGTTAAGACCGATGGAGACAAAAGAGCAAAAGCTTGATGGGACTTCGAAACAAGCTGATATTAAATCAGCACTAGCTATTATGATGTCTTGTTTTCTCCAAAATAGCTCTTCATACCATCCAACCTTCTCTGTCTTATTTCTGTTGAGCTCTTTTTCTGTCATTAGTTGTCAGTTTGTCTTCTTCATTTTGCTTTCTGCTCCATTCATTGCGGCCTCTCTGCCACTGTTTCTGGAGTCTTGCTATTTTTCATTTTTAGAATATCCTGCAGTATTCTCTGTAGAATTGAATTGGTGGTTGCAAATTCCCCTAGTTCCTCTTTATTCTGGAAGCACCTTGTTTTTCCATCAATTTCTAGGGACAGTTTGATATGTCAATCTTGGCTGGAGGTTCTTATCTTTCAAAGCTTCAATTATTTCCCCCCATGCTCTTTGTGATTTGATTGTGCCAAAAAGTCTGCAGTAATTCTGATAGGTGTTCCCTTGTAAGTGATCTGTTTATTGTCTCTGATGGCTTTTAATATTCTGTTCTTATATTGGATTTCTGGAATTTTGATTATTATATGCCTGGATGTAGCTCTGTTTGGGTTGTAGGTGGCTGGGATCCTGTATGCCTCATAGATCTGAGTATCTTTACCTTTTGCTAAACTAGGGAAATTCTGCTGGATTATTCCTGTGAGTAGCTTTTGTAGTTCATTTGTTTGTGTCCCTACTTCTTCTTTTATGTTCTTAATTCTTAAGTTATCGATCCTCTTATCATCTTCTAGCCTTTGTATTATTGCTATTTGTTTCCTTGTTATTTGTAAGAAGTTTTTCATTTCATGCTCCCACTTTACAAATCTGTCCTCCAGCTCAGCTAATCTATCCTTAGTTTCTTTCAAGCTGTTCTGCCAGCTTTCAATAGAGTTTTTAGTTTCCTGGTAATCTCTTTGAACCTGTTTCACGTATTCTATGTTTTCTCCATCAAAAAAATTCTCCCCTTTTTTTCCTGTTCTTCCATTCCACCATCTGTTTTTTTCTTGGGCAGTACTTAGCATTTCTCTAACTATTCTACTTATATCTTGGCTTACTTCATTAAATACTTCACTTTTGAACTCGTCTGTGAGGCTCCGGCAATATCGCTTTATGTCTATTGGTGCTGTGTCTGATATTGAAGGTTTTCTGTCCTCATTCTCCTTTGCATTTACCTTTCCTGGATCAGTGTTCTCAGGATTGGAGACCAAGGACCCTTTCTTATTACTCTGTCTTCCTATACTTTTTGTTCCTTCCATACAAGCGTATATAGGAGGCCCAGTTTCTTTCTTTGTCGGTTACAGTTTGTTTGAATCCGCTGGCTAGGTGTTCCCGCCCACTGCAGTGCACTAGGGAAACAGACCTGGGCAGCCTCTACTGGGCCCGCCCCTCCAGGTCAACCTACTGAAGGCTTCACAGCTAGGGCGCACTACCAGACGCTGCGGCCTGGTTTGGGCTAGCCTACTGAGTCTTAGTCCGTGGTGTCACTCAGCCTGAACGCTCCCTACCAATCCCTTGAGGGGGGAATATGCGACTAAAGTCACTGAAGCATCCTGTTCCGGCTAGTCTGCCCAGTCCCAGAATGTCCTCTGTTGGAGCCTCCTTATCTATGGAAGAGTCCCCGTTCCTCTCACTCACCGCAGGTCAATGCAGGGCTCCCCACCAGTCCCCCTCTCAATTCCGTTTGCCAATTCCTGCTCTCAGAGCTTTCACACATCTCTCTCCCTGCTGTGCCGATTCACACGCAGCAGTGGTGGCAGGAAATTCAAATCGCGGTTTCCAGAGGCGCGGGTTCCAGCTTCCTCACTGAGATTTTATCTGTTCCAGTTATAGCACTGGGATTGCATTTCCAGTTGGTTTCTCTCAGCTTAGTTTGGTCCTGGGTCAGCAGGATATATATCCCCTTGCTTAGGACTCCTCACATCGCACCATTCCTGGATTCTATGCTGGCTGTCTCAGAGAGCCTCCATAGCTGCTGTTATCTATCTGCCATGTTCTCCTAGAAGTCCAATACAAAGATTTTACATACAGTGTTAAGATCAATGAGAACAAATCATTGCAATGCTTGAGGTTGTCCAAGGATCCTTTGCAGCCTTCAGTAAGGAGTCACAGAAAATATCAGTGTGTTCAGCTCCAGGCTCTGATCTACTTGAAGAGCTTCACCAATTCTTTCAAGCACCAGACCTTGTGTTTATCAGTATCTTGAACTCCATTGTGCCGAGGAGCGCGCAGATGGGAAGCAACTATATCATTTTTTCAAATTCATGTGAAAACTGCCTGGTTGGATTCTGCCTGCCTCCAGAGATGTGAATAAGATGGCTCATATTCTCTAAGTCTGCTTCTTTAGAATGTTGGAAGACTTCTCCATACAACCCCCAGGGGCTGATATTTTTCATGCCTGCTTTGCCTTCAGACTTGTATGGGGGCCATTTCTGCCTTATATCTGTTAAGCACTCAAATATCAGAATCAGCCCTTGGTGTCAACTGTCGTATCATGGGTTCCAGAGTGAAAGGGAATGGGAGAGGCAGCTTCCAGTGGATACAGTCCAAACACTGGGCAGCTCCCAACATGG